GTCCCCGATCCCCTGAGGTAACCGCCGGGCGGCTGCCCCAGGACGGGCGGGTTTGTACAAAAACCAGCAAGTTTCTGAAAAAGCCGGCTGGAAAACAAACAAACAAACAAACCAACAACAGCGTGTCTGAAAAAGCAGCGGGTTCGCGAAAAACAAACAAACAAGCAAACGAAAACGGTAACTTCCCCCCCCACTGAAGCAGCAGATGTGTGAAAAACCGGCAACTTCCCGAAAAAGCAGTGGATTTAGAAGAAAACCGGTGAGGATCTGAAAAAGCAGCAAGTTTTGCAAAGGAAAAACAGCGAGTTTCTGAAGAAGCTGTGGAGTCGCAAAAAAAACCCCTCAACAGCCCCCCCCCCAAAAAAACCCTAAAGTTTACGAAAAAGCAGCGGCTTTCTGAATAAAAATAAAGCCACTCTGCAAAGAAGGAAGGTAAGTCCCTGTTGTGCGGGACGCGCCGGGTGGGTTCGATTTCTTCTTCGAGGCCAAATCCTGCCGGGCCCACGGCTTTCCCCGGCGCGTCATCCCACCGGACGCGAAATTAAGACCGGTAAAGGTGTATTAACCAGTAATGAGGGTTGGTTTTTTTGCAATACGAGCCAGTGTCAAGCCGCAGCCGGAGGAGCTGTGAGCGTATTCCTAATATAGATATATTTTTCCCCGGTGTTATTTAATTTTTTCCTCTGTTACTGCTTTTTCCCCAGCGTTATCCCAACAGTTTCGCTGCCGGACGCTGATAAACACCCCTCGGCCACGCAGAGCACCGACAGCCATGGCTGCGCGGCGATGGAGGGGTCTCCCGCCCGGGAATCTTTCCGACTGTCCCAACGGCTCCCGCTGGGTGATGGACGTGTTCAACGAATGCGCCCAAGACGGACGGGACATCGCCAGCGTTGTCCTGGGTCTGGTTTCCATTTTCTGCTTTGCAGCTGCCTCTTTTCCGTAAGTATTGCTCCCAAAACCCGGCTGAGCCCTTCCCTTGGTACACCCCTCTCTTAAAAATCAAATTTCAAGGGCAAGCTGCCTGAATTATTAAATCCACCCCGCAAAAGCAAGCTGGGCTTGGAAAATTTGGGTTTAACAGGAGGAGGGGGAGCAGGCGGTACAGCCCCAAAGCCTTGTTTGTTATTATATTGTTATTATTATGCTTGGCAGCTGTAATAATCCACGTAAGCCAACTGCAATGCAGTCATTGCAGGTCATACGTGCGGAAGAAATGTTTCCAGCAGCCCTGGGCTTCTTGGAAGTGCTGGGGACAACTGTGGCAGAAGGGGACGTGGGGAGTCCTGCTCAGTCTTGGTGTATCATCAGATTATTTCGTAACTAGAGAGGTGGTTTCTGCCCCCACATGAAAGGACAGATCACGAGGGCTTGAGCTGCACAGGATGCTGTGAGCAGCCAGTGGGTCGCAGGACTTCTCATGGGGGCCAGTTTGCAGGGGCGCACGTGGCTTTGCTAGAGGAAATCTTTGCTTTTCATCCCTCCCCGTGTGCTTTGGGCGGGTGGCAATTGTGAGATGATCCAGGTGGCAGCACCAGGGAAGCCTGGGGATGGTTCCCAGGTAGCGCTGAACTGGGCAGGGGTTATGGTTTGTGCTTCTACCCGACTCTCTCTCTTGCAGGCAGTTTTACCAAGCCTGCAAAACGGGCATCATGGACCGAGCTCTCTCCATATATTTCCTGCTGGGATGGCTGGGTGGAGACCTCCTAAACCTCATCGGTTCCTTCCTGGCTGATCAGTTGCCGCTGCAGGTACCGATGGACTCGCTGGGGCTGGGTCAGCGCTCAAACACCCCCAACTCCAGGGAGGAGGGATGGGATGGATGCTGCTTAATCCAGCACTGGGAACTAGAGACCCAAATGGCCCAGGGATGCTCCCTTCCTTCTCCCCCCTCCGGGGGATGCTCCCTTCCTTTTCCGTCCCCCGGGGATGCTCTGTTCTTCTCTCGCCAGCGATGCTCCCTTCTCCCCAAGGATGCAATGCCATGCCCCGGGATGGTGGCTCATCACAGCCATGAGCTGGAAGCCCTTTGGCAGGTAGGACCAACCCATCCTTCTCCCCGCAGGTTTACACGGCAATTTACTATGTGCTGGCAGACCTAGTGATGCTGTCTCTCTACTGCTACTACAAAGTGAAGAACCAGGGCAGAGGACGTGAGTTGGGGTCACAGGGCGGAGGGGCCGTGCACTCCCCTTGGCACGTCTTTTCGGCTGGCTTGTCCCCGGCTTCAGAGCCGAGTCCGGATGGGAAACAATCCCTGGGTTAGATGCGTCCTCAGGATTGATGCAGCTATTAGATGCCTCCTATTGCTTGCTGTGTATTTTTTCTTGGATAACCTGAGCGCCTGTGAAAGCCACAAATAGTTCCTGGCCGTGCCTGGGGCTTCTGCAAATGCCTGTGTCAGGGTTTAACCCCTGCAACTAGAACCACAAGGCTGCTCCCTCCCTCCCTTCCTCCCCCCCCCCTTCCCCCTGAAGGGAAAAAAGGAGGAAAATAAATTTGTGGGTTGAGAGAACGACAGGAAACTATAACAGACAAGGAAAAACAACAATAATAATAACTAAAGGGGTCACTCTCACCGCCTGGTGAATTGGCACAGTCCCGAGCAGTGATCGTGGATTTCCCCCCCCCCCAGCCAACCCCCATTTCTATGCTGAGCATGATGGCTGTGGTATGGAATATTCCTTTGGCCCTTCCATCCTCTCTATGCTGCTATGGGAAGCTGAAAAAAAGTCCTTGAATAGTGTAAACATCACTTGGCAACAACTAAAAACAATAGGTATTATTGACATGCCTTTCACAGCAATCACAGAAAGAAAATTAACTCTTTCC